GTCTCCTCTGTGTTTCTTGTTTTGTCACAGGGCAAGGATTAGTCCTACCTTCGGTACTGAGATCCTTGGAAAGGGATAACAAGAAGTCTAAGTTTTACTTCCCAGAGGCATATTGGTGACATTCATATCTGTACCATAATTTTCAAATGATGCAGTGGTCACTATCCCAAAAGAAACCTCTTAAGTGCAGGGAGGTTGGACTAGATGATCTCTAAAAGCCCCTTCCAATCTTAACCATTCAGTGAGTCTGTGATTATGTATTTGTACTGTATGAAACATGGCTATTTTTTTTCCTCTACTATTTCTCTAGCCCCAAATACTCACAGTCTAATCAGAGCTCTTGTTTTCCTGTGGCCTTCATTAATTTTTATTAGGACTAGAAGCAAAATTTTGGGTCGTTTGGTCCTGCCATCTGTTATCTCTACAATCCTGTCCTCCAGTTCCGTCTAAACTTGAACTCCCCTGGCAAGCAGTTTTCCTCACTGCCCTGGAGGCTATTTCAAAACCTCACTGCTCTGATGTCCTGGAACACAGGTCAAAAAGATGGTCAGATAGCAGGAAGCTTTGAAGAATTAAGCAAAATGCTGTCCTTATCCCTCAGCAAAAACACACAGCTCCCATTCCACACCGATCTGAAACAGCAGTATCCTAACTGAGTTTGAATCAACAGGTAGCAGTCTTACCTCAATCTTTTATCTCAGCCTATTAGAGAAGTGTGTTCTTTCTCTCATACAGTGACTTAGTCCTGAGGTCTTCTTTCCATTACTTCCAAGCTAGATTATCTTCTATGGATTTCTGTGTGTCCAGACACTTTTCCACCTATCATCCACTGGACTATTCACTTTCTCCAATGCTTCTAGCCCATATCTGCTAACAGTATCATGGCCTGCTGAAGGCCATGGTTTTAATTTTCAAAGCAAGCAAGGAATTAGTCCCTTTCTACGTGAAAGGCTAAAATTTTTGGTCTGTGAACAGTTGCAATTGTACTTCACAGCATACCTAACAGTGGATGAAGACTGAGGGTAAATGTTTCAAACAAAGGAATTTTGCTGTTGATCAGCATTTCAGAGGAGCACGCCTGATCCCTTCCGTTTTTAAACCTTTTTGTTTTAAATAGTTTTTAGACTGTTTATGTCACCATGATGTCACCCAAAATATTATAGAAGAATTCATCTTGATATCTTTATCTGTCTACCGTATAAATGTTTTGGCCAAACATATTTGTTGTAGACTATAGTCATTGGAAAGAATATCACATTTTTAGAAGGATTCATATAACTTATAACATATAACCTAATTCTATAAACCTGAAAGTGATATGAATTGCACCCTAGAAATAGCCATTTCCCTCCAATGATCAGAAAGGCTGGAGATGACACACTCAGATTCTCAGACCTACTTCTGGCCAAGAGACTGCCATCCTGCTAGTCAAAGAAACTAAGCAGGAAAATCCTAATATTCAAAGAAATCATCTAGGTATTCTAAGCAGAATTTTCACTTGGATAAAAAGGTGTGTAACAGGCTCCTGCATTATGCTACTGTTGTTCTGTAAGACTCTTAAATATTATTCTGCACAATTGTCTACAACCCTAGGATAGATGAGATGGATAACCCTATTAGCATCTCTGGAGTTATTCGTAATTTTTGCTAGGAAAAAAAGAGAGGTAAATGGGGCCCTTAACTTATTCCTGCTTTACTCGCTGACGCTCTCTATGACCTTGTGAGAGTTGTTTTATCTCATATTTTCCCAATATGTGAAATTAAGATGATCACACTCACAAACTGCTATAAGGTCTAATTAGTAAGTGTAAAGCACCATGAAATCCTCTGATGAAAGATGCAGAATACAGCTGGCTTAGGATAAAGAGGATTAAAGGAGGTTGTGTTAATATAACAAATGCTTGAGAAATGATGCTTAGGGGGAAGTGAACTGGCTCATATCTGCAGGTGGGGAAATGAGAATCAGCAGTCTGTAACAGCTGTTGGCAAACATCAAATCCAGTGATAGAATATGTCTACCAAAGAGGTTTGGACAATGAAAGAAATCACCTAGCAATGTTCAGGAACAGGTGAATTACTGTAGATTAGTAGGATTATCCTGGGCAAAACCCTTCCAAGTTTATCCACCTGGAACTCAACTGACCTGATGGATCTTCTGCAGTTTTTTTCATCACTGTCTCCAAAATATTCACCAGTATAATATTGTCATTCAAATGGGTTAGTTTTCGTATGATAAGCAGTACACCATCTTGCTGTCTGAGGGCATATTATTAGAAAACCTGTCCCTTTTAGCAGGTCCTTGAATGCCATGCCCTTTTCCAGGAGTGCGCAGGGAATGCCTGGGAGAGTTGGAAGTGCCTTTGGTGGAAAGGTCCCTGCTCACAGCTCCAGATAATTGGGACTCCCCTGTATCCAGTTCCTATGTTATCCATTTTGAATGCCATAAAATATGGCTCCTGACCAAGCCAGTAGTCTCGCTCTTCCACCATCACCAACCAGATACCACAAACCATTCATTTCATAATTGTCAGTGACCTTTCCTTTTTAACTCTCTTTCCTGCCTAGGCATCACTGTGGACAAGTTCGGGCTGATCTACTTTGTGGACGGCACTATGATCAGGCGGATTGATCAGAATGGGATCATCTCAACCGTGTTGGGTTCCAATGACTTGACATCTGCTCGGCCTCTCAGCTGTGATTCGGTCATGGACATTTCTCAGGTGGCATAACTTTGTTTTTTATTGTTGGTTTTTTGTTTGTTTGTTTGCCTTTGTTTTTCTGCAGAAAGTAAGTCTATGCATTCACCCCATTTTTGTGTATCTGAGTGCCTCTCCCAGTACATTTTGAAACAATTGGCCAATTTCAGGGAAGTTTGTCAAAGGGAGTTCAAGGAGAATTACATGCCTGCATGGTTTGTAGAGTGAATATGACTGAGTTGAAAAGGGAGATCCTAAAAAGACTGCAAGAAAGACCTAAGTGATTTAACCCAGATCACAGGGGGATCCCACGTGGGGAGAGACATTTTAAAGATGTGCTAGCCACAGAAGAAACATCTTCCAAAACTCCTGATCAACCATGAGACACAAATCCCTGGAAAAACAGGTTTCATTGGACTCATTTCTTAAGACATGAGTTGTTTTAAATTAAAAAGACCAGGCAGCAGTTTTCACTTTAATGGGGATATATGACATACTTTGTTACAACAACTTAGTGAACGGTGTTTTTTTTTTCTTTACCAGTCCACTACCCGATTGCTATCCTAATTTACCCAACACGATTTCAGGCCTGAATCAAATTAACATTTAGGAAATGCTGATTGGAGGCTGTGGTGCCAAAATTAGCAACAGCAGGAAAACAAGAATCTTGAATTGCATCAGATTGCAAATTGGTTGCAGCTACTATCACGCTGGGCTTTTAAGTCCCCCTGCTTAAAGGTGGAGGGAAAAAAAAGGGGGCGAAAAAGAAATGTTGGGTTGATGATTGCTTTACTTTTGGATGGTGCAAAAGGGAAATCTGTTACTGCCCAGCACTCAGTTTTGTAGAGCACCAGCCAACCTGTCAGATTGAGCCAGTTTAGAGATATTGGCTTTAAAATCTTTATGCCACCTGTTATTTGCCTGGCTAGAGGAATGTTGCCCTCTTCTGCGAAAATGCAGGCCATAGCTGGAGGGCTAAGTACTGTTATTCAGCCACAATAGATGTTAATGGGGTTTCCTTTTTGTAACTACCTAGATAATTTCCATTCTCCCATACAGAATCTGTTCTTCAAGTTTTTTTCTGCTCTAATTTGAAAAGACTATTCTTGCTCCTTTGCAATTCGTTCCCACTGTCCACAATCTATGAACAAGCTGAAATTATGAGTTTGAAAGCTTTCTTGCCTTCTATGGAAGTAAATTTTGGCTAGTTAAAGGTTGTCTTGTAGCACATCTCTCATCTTACAGGCATATTCTTTCCTTTAGCTGAATTTCAAGGGCAGTTATCACAAGACCATTATGGATTTAAATTGAAAAAATTATTTTCTGGCAGGTTGTATAATTTATATGTACTGATGTCATATTTTAACACTTAAACTCCTGAGGTGAGCCAAAATATATTAAGTAAGTAGAGCTTCTTTATTTCCCTTCTTAAAATGGCAAGTGCCATTATTAAATTAACCAGTGTCGTGATGGACAGAAAACCAATATTGTGGTGGACACACACGCACACAAAAGCTGAAAAGCAAAACACAAACCCCAGCTTGGGAAGTATCTTTTCATCATTTAGAAGGGTCTCCTCCGACATGTCCCTTGGGGACATGAAGACTTGAAATATTTAGCAGCCAATGTTGACAAGGAATGTTTTTTTAAGAAACTGAAAATTGCCTTTGTCAGTTCAGAATAAACTCCACTCCTGATGTTAACTCAAGGTTGCAGAGCACAAAGATCACTGGAAGGGATGGAGGCATACATTATTGAGGAGAAAACCACAGGCTATAATGTTTTACTGCAAGAAGGGTTAAAATAGGCCAGGCGCAGAGAAAATGAAGAGGATTTTGAGAACAGAAAATGAGAAGGGGCAGAGCCCAGCACCCTTCTTAGATGTGAAGCTAAGTTTCATGTGCCCTGCCCTTAGAAGGCACAATGAACTAAATAACTTGCAATCCATGAAAAGAAGGGAGAGGAGAGGAGAGGAGAGGAGAGGAGAGGAGAGGAGAGTAGCCTAACTATCATGTGCTGAACTAAATAACTTGCAATCCATGAAAAGAAAGAGGAGAGGAGAGGAGAGGAGAGGAGAGGAGAGGAGAGGAGAGGAGGCTTTCCAAGTTTGAATTTCCTATATACCTCTCAGTCTTACATGATCTCTTCTTGTTCTGCTTGATGCATATCAACTCCATCTACTCTTTGGCTGTCTGACAAGGAATGTATGATTAGAATAAATATTCTTGTTAACTAGTTGACTATTTTAAAGCCTGGTGAGCCAGAGCTATTAATTTCCCATTCCCCTCTACACCCCTACATCCCATTAGGAAAGGCATCCCATTAGGAAGATATTTAAGCGTTGGTTCACTCCTGTCAGCACAACTGTTGACCTATTTTTTTTCTATGTAAACCTAAAGTAAAATAAAATAATCACAAAACGTACAGCTTACAGTTCTTTTTAAACGACTACATAGACTGTGAATTCTATTGATGGAGGCTTTTTAGGCTAAAAGAGTAGATTTACTTGAAAGGCAGTGCTGGAAATACAGACCTTCCAGTACTTGCTTACTTGCATTACCAGCCACTGCTTCGGTTTACTGGTGTGCATAGAATATCAGTATAGAAGGGTAATGTGTTACTATTATTTGAGCTCATTCTTACATTATTCTCAATATGATGTGAAAACCACTATGTAGACATGTATTTTATTCCATGAAATGAAATAGGCTGAATTTCCAGTGAATTGACATTTTACATTTTCGCAGCATCAAGCACAAAACAGGCGGTTTTATCCTGGATGTACACATATAGTGACACAGCTGCCACTTTTGTCTATTTGTCTGTGTCGTTCAGCCTGAGGAATTGGACCCCCTTGTCTGGAAAATCCTTCAGTAAAAAGATCGTTGTTTTGTTTGACGGATTGATTTTTTAGAGCTTTGCACAACAGAGCTTCCAGGCATGAATCTGCTATAAGGCCCAGGTTCTATCAGTGACAAGAGTGAGATGGTATGGAGGAGGAAAATTTTGCTTGAATTGTTGGATCTACTCATTCCCTCCCATATTGCACACCTCTGCCACAGAGCTGAAAGTATCTGCATTTCCTGGGTGCTGACATCGCTTCTCATGGGCCACTGACCCTTCACATCAAGAGTAGCAAGGCAGAGAGAAACTGGTGTGAGAGCCGGAGGTTGGTCTGTGCCCTGGACCTTCTGCCATTGCTGCTCTGATGCAAAGTGTGGATGTGTATGTATGTCCCCCTTGTGTGACAGGGGACTCACTCACACCAGGGTTGCATCCTCTATTACCGCAATACCAGGCAGTAATAATTAACTGTGTCCTTTTATTTTCCTCTCTCTCTTTAATCCATGTTGAAACTATCTCATTGAGATTTTAGTAACCCTACTGTAAAAACATAGTACTATAATAATTTCACTTGTGTTGTTTTGCTGTTAAGGTTCGCCTAGAGTGGCCCACAGATTTGGCAGTCAACCCCATGGATAATTCGCTCTACGTGCTCGACAATAACGTCGTGCTGCAGATATCTGAGAATCACCAAGTGCGCATAGTGGCGGGGAGGCCCATGCATTGCCAAGTGCCAGGCATGGATCACTTCCTCCTCAGCAAGGTGGCAATCCATGCCACCTTGGAGTCTGCTACTGCCCTGGCCGTCTCCCATAACGGGGTCCTGTACATTGCTGAAACAGATGAGAAAAAGATCAACCGCATCAGGCAGGTCACCACCAACGGAGAGATTTCTCTTGTTGCCGGTGCACCGAGCAGCTGTGACTGCAAGAATGATGCTAACTGTGACTGCTTCTCTGGGGACGATGGCTATGCCAAGGATGCCAAGCTCAACGCGCCATCCTCCCTTGCAGTGTGTGCAGATGGGGAGCTGTATGTCGCTGATCTCGGAAATATCCGAATCCGCTTTATTCGGAAAAACAAACCATTCCTCAACACCCAAAATCTGTACGAGTTATCCTCACCCATAGACCAGGAACTCTACTTGTTTGATACCAGTGGTAAACACCTTTATACTCAGAGCCTTACCACTGGAGATTATCTTTACAATTTTACCTATTCTGGAGACGGAGATATCACTCTGATCACCGACAACAATGGCAACTTAGTCAACATCCGAAGAGATTCCACGGGGATGCCTCTCTGGCTCGTAGTGCCAGATGGCCAAGTCTACTGGGTGACCATTGGCACCAACAGTGCTCTCAAGAGCGTAACAACACAGGGGCATGAAGTGGCTATGATGACGTACCACGGCAACTCGGGTCTTCTTGCCACCAAAAGCAATGAAAATGGGTGGACAACGTTTTACGAGTAAGTATATTATGAATATTGCACTGTTGACTTTATTCTGTGTTCTCTGAACCACAAAATGTTAATAGAATTTAATTCCCTGGTCAGAATTCATATCAGAATGAAATGGCCAGACCAGAGGATATTACATCTCACACAACCCCTTCATACGAAATGTAAGTGGTTTAGGGTTTGAATAAGCTCTTGCTACTGAGGCAGCTTCAGACAAAGCTTCTGCTGAGTTTTTCTAAATCACCAAAGGAATTTGGACACCTGGTTCTCCTTAACTGTAGTCAGGACTGGGAATTTAGGCTGCATGTCAGATAATTCTGCTTAGCTTTGAACGCCTTGGGAGCGTCAGTGTTCATCATATCCTCTTTTTCACAGCTTTTCACCTACTTTCTATGTTCCAGTGTCTTTTTCGAGCCTGTTTGAAATGGCTGGTGCAGAATGACAATTGACAGTGACTAATGAGGACTGTCTCAGAAACAGCTCTGTAATTAATGGACTGCTCTGTTTCTATTGTTTTAACTGGCCTCAGTGATCTTTAAAAATAGTCTCAATACTCTTCAAGATTGTCCCTGCACAAAAGAATTTGTGAACAGAGAAGACAGGATGCACTGAAAAAAAAAAGGGAGTGCAGTGACTTGAAGAAGATTCGTATTTCTTTTTATTTCACTGTTAGCAATTCCCTGCTTATGAATACATGAAAAGAGTACATTTCTGATATCAAATAGGAAAAAAGCTGATAACTCAATGAAAGGCGTTGAGAATGATCGTCTGCTTATTCATCCTGCCATTGAGAACCCTTTCCCCTCTTACTCAGTTTTATTTTTATTCTTGGTTCTTTGAAATGATCCTTTTAGTCCACAATTTCCCATATGGTTTAAATGGTTGCATGAAAGTGTTCAGATACCATAATAATAGACCTGCTGCAAGAGTCCAGTTTGGCTAGAATAGACAGTTCCCAACAAAATAAAGGAGAAACTGTAAAAAAAAAAAAAAAAAAGGAAAGAAAGACAAAAAGACCCAGAGAAGGAAAGAAAGTTGACTAAACCCAAATGTAGATATCAGACATGCAGTTGTTTTGGCTCTGTCCTCAAAATTTTCCAGGCACAATTTTAAATTTCTTAATATTTGTTATTACTGCTCCTGCCCTGAAAAAAACTGATGGAAACTCTGTGATGAATTGTTTGAAAGGTTATTTGCATTCCGTCAATGTTCTGTTTGCAATTACTATAGCAACATTCCTCAGTGAGACTAAGTTAATACACTTACATTTTTTGCACTGAATTTATTTGAGAAAGGCTTTAGGAAAAAAAGGTAGGGCGTTTTTCTCTATAATGCTGGAAACTCACTATATTGTCAAGAACATTGTGCAAAATCAAGCTGATATTTTCTTTTAGCAAAAAGCCAATGGCTCCTGTGCTTGAAAACAGATGTTGCCATGGACAGTGGAACAAACTAAACATTACAGCTAATAATATTTGGATTTATACTAAAACATGCTCTTCTTTTTAAAAGTGTGACTGAAAATATAGAGGAAATAAAGTGAGAGAGAAGCTAAAATCCAGCATACGCTGTGGATAATTTTTCTAACAGTATTCTGTTATTATTTGCTATCCCACAAAATAGAGTTTTTGTGAAAGTCATCATTCTGGTCCTTTTACGAACTTCAGGAGAGTCATAAGAACGCTTTTTAGAGCTAAATGGAAGACAGTATTCTCCAGTGGTTAGCCTATGGAAATGGAAATCTTGACTAGAGCAAGTCAGCACTATATGATATCACAGCATCACTGAAAATAGAGTTGGGAATGTGTCTTTAGAGATACCTCTGATCAGTTATCTCCATTTAACTATTCCTGACAGAGTCTGATGTAACTTTATGCAACCACAGTGTAAAAGTCTATATCTGAATTAGGAACCTCAGCCTCCCTTTATAGGCAATGGAGAGTAACAGGCCCTTTCAAGGTGAATATCATATGAGCTATTTCAAGTATCTGCTTTAGGATGAGAGGAGATATATTCTGAAGCTTTCTCTCCCCATTAACCTGAAAGTAGTCCAGAATGATTAGCTCAGATATAGATATTTACATTTCAGATATCTGTAGTTCTTGCAGATGGATCCTATCCGGGTCCTCTAAGTTGGTCATAAATATCACTAGTGATAATGATGCCTTTCCCTCTCTTATTGTGAGAAAGTATAAGATGTTTAGTTTTATTGTTAGAAAGCTTTTTCATATGCTTAATCTGTATCTTTTTTTGCTCACATCTGAGACCATCACAACTCTTCCTATTCATTCTGTCCTAGTACGTCCACTAAGGACTTGGAAAACAGATTATTCTCTTCTTTTCACCCTTGAATATGCAAATCTGGCTCTAGAGCTTGTTCTTTGATAGTTCCCAAAGGGTAATCAGAGTCATTAGCAGTGGGGAATCATGCAGTAGGTTTGCACCCGGTGGATTTGTGCAAGTCGTGATTCGACACATGCATGATCTGGGAAAAATATATATAATATCAGAAATGATAAAATTAGCAGATTAGTAGACAAGAGGTGACAACAGGTCAGACAGAGACTAAGATTGCTTGGTTAGTGGTTTTCATGTAAACAGGATATGTTCTTGTATAGTCACGTGCCAAGGTAAACATGTGAAGCACCGAAAGAATTAAGATGAGCTTTGATATCTCCATTATACTGAGATATCATATTGGAGCCGTCCGATATGATGTCTCAATATAATTCTAAACTGTTGTTTTGATGGATAAACGACATGAATACATTTACTCATCCCATTCTACTAAGTAAGCAGAAGCAGGATAATCTTATCCCTATACAGCACTGATGGCGCAAATCCTGGGGTAGGATTTTAAGTTCGCTGTTTATGAAAGATAGTTAAAATTGAAAAGTGCACAGAAAAAAAAGGCGGGGAGAAAATTCTTTGTGTGGGAGAACAAACAAAACCTGATCTGTTGATCTTATCACAACGAACACTGGGAAATATGTAGATCATAGCATGTCAATACAAAACTATAAGCTACGAAAGGACTCTTTATATATCAGAGAAAGGACCAGGGGCTGGAAAGCAAAGCTGGAGACATTCAATTGATAGGAAGGAATATTTTTTAAGACTGAGATTAGCTGACTGTTAAAGCAAACAGCCATAAGATGCAATATACTTTTCATTTCTGAGTATCTTAAATCATGACTTTGGATATCTTCCTGAAGACATTTTTCACCAGGCAGAAATGCGTGAGTTAAACCCCGACTGCAGGATTGACTGCAGGCATGGAAGGATGAAGTGTAGGTTCCTGTGATATCAAGGAAGTCAAAGAAGACGATGTAAGCCAAAGCAGATGTTTGAAACCTTCAGATTATTGGTTTCTGTATCAGAACATCAGGGAACTTAAGAGTGTGAAAGTTTAAGTGATGTAGAGAAATCCTGTTATCATGAGTGACTGGAAGGTGCTCTGAGAAGTTTTCAGTCCTGACTCACAGCAAAAATGAAGCTTATGATATTTCCATTTTGCTTGCTGCCATGGAAATTAAGAGATCAGATCTGAGTCTGAGGGAAGGCTTGATGCTGCTCACAGCGCTCTACCTCCAGTTTCTCATTCCACATAGCAGTTGTTTATGGCCTAGTGAAGGCTGGACACTTGCTTTAAAGGATAAAGAGTAAACATAAATTCAGCACTTGAATTTACACTGCACCAGTGGCCCCATGAAGAACTTCCTTTTAAGGTTTACCTTTACCTTGCTGGCGATGGAGGACTGTAGACAAGACATCCAATATGAAAGAGAAATGGTGTTGCAAGAGCAGAAACACTGCAGGTATTTTATCATAAATAAATAAATAAAGAGAAAAGAATTGTAAAAGTGCATTGCTGCTGAAAAAGCACAGATTTGGAACAGAATGTTTGAGTGCATCCAGATCTGTGCATGTGGCCATGTTTCTTAGGAGCAATGGCCAAAGAAGGACTGATGCACCCAGACCAAACGAGTATTAAATGTTCCTCCTGCCAGTTGTTTTCACAGATCTCTGTTTCCCCATGAGCTGTTGCTGATACCAGGACAAATCTCAGTCTTCATCATACAGCTGCAAAGACCCCTGTGATACAGAAACACTGGTTGTGATGCTCTGGAGAAGGAGTCAAGACTGACTCTGTTCTGAAGGTCTATATCCAGGGTAGCCCAGGGAATGTCCTCCCAGGGTTCAGGTTGGGCTAGCACATGGCACCAGCTTTTCTATCAGGAGAGATGAGGGGTCCTCTCTTCAGAGGGTGGCAGACTTGCTCACAGCTCTAGTTTTTGCACCTCCTGCACCAAAGCCTTTGTAACAATCTAGCTTGTTGGAGTGAGAGTTACAATCTAATGGCATGTAGTTTCCCCTTGTTCTGAGGGTGAAACTTAGCAGTAATTAGCCTGTCCCCAAAGACCTATCTAGGACTTTTTTCAGGGTTTTAAGATTACGTCGACATTCTCTGCCTCTGCACAGGGCTTGACATTCACTGCCAATTAATGCAATTGCAACAGCTCAGTTTGTCCAATAACTGGATTAAAGGCTTGCGTTCCCATTGAACTTGTGGCAGTGATAATCAGCAACAAAGGAAGTTGATCTGGAAACTCTGTCAGGGTAACAATTTCTTTTTGTTTGACGCCTCAGACCAGACAAAGGATGCTGTGTGACTACTTGGTTCTTCTTTGTTTTTGCTTTTCTGCTTGACCTGTAAAAGAATTGCTACCAGCCTTTGCGTAGTTTCTTAGCAGTTATTGTTCATCTCTAATTCAGAATCAAGAAATTCTTATTGATGCATTTGTTTAAATCAAGAATATGGCGATTATCTTGATTAGCAATTTGAGAGGTGTTTTAACTCAATGTGCTTTAACTCAATGTCCCTCTGAGACAAAGTCAAACCTTTTAAGCATTATTTAGCCCATGTGAGGCTCTTTTGCCTTAGTCCTTTGAGTGCCCAATTACTTCTGAAGGTCACCTCCTCAGATACAAACTGAAGTATTTGCACA